GGTGGCCGTCCCCACCGACACGCTGTACGGCCTGGCCTGCTCGGCGAGCTGCTCAGCGGCCCTGGAAGATGTGTACCGCCTCAAGGGCCGCAGCGAGGTGAAGCCGCTGGCCGTCTGCCTGGGCCGCGTGGCCGACGTCTACAGGTGAGGCCGCCCGGACCCGGCCCCGCTGAGGGCGGCACCGCGGGAGGGGCTTCCGGTGACAGGCTTGGGAGACTGAGGCGGAGAGAGCAGGAGGGGCTTGTCCAAGCTCACCCAGGAATCCGGAACTGGAAATATGTATCGAATATTTCAGCGTATGCCAGGCCCAGAACTGGAGGCCGGGGCGTTGTGCTCTCGGCTGAGGAGGAGAATCCCATGATAAGAAAAGACACTTTAACAGGGAGCGCTTTGGAAGAGATTAAGGCAGGGAACATGATGTGCAACTGGGGCAGCCCCTGAGATAGGAGGCAGATGATTTCCAAAGTGTGGGGTGCCCCTCTAGAGGTCTCTAGCTTCTGGCGCAGCTAGTCAGGTGATACTGGGAAACAGGCCCCAAAGCCCCTTAGCCTTTGTCTGCTGGGAGTCTAGGGAAGGACCAGCGGTGGCCATTTGCTCAGGCGCTTACCCTTGTTTGTGTCTAGGTACTGCCACGTGAGAGTCCCCGAAGGGCTCCTAAAAGACCTTTTGCCAGGACCAGTCACCCTGGTGATGGAACGCTCCGAGGGGCTCAACAAGGACCTGAACCCTTTCACCCCCGTGAGTCAAGTTTACTGTGGGTGTTCTCAGACTCCTGGCCACTTCACACCCACGGACACCTCCACCCTTCCCAGCTTTTCTGATGACCCCCTTTCCTCTTCCCTCACAGCTTGTGGGCATCAGGATTCCTGACCACGCCTTCATGCAGGACTTGGCCCGGGTCTTTGGGGGCCCGCTTGCACTCACCAGTGCCAACCTCAGTTCCCAGCCCAGTTCTCTGAATGTCGAGGTGAGAGTTAGACAGACCCCGCTTCCTCTGAACCAACGCACTGTTAGCATTTTTGGTCCCAGGGTAGAAATCTTCCCAGTTGGCAGTCGGGTAGAGGTTAGGGAAACCCAAAATTAAAGATTCTCACCTAGGTTTTTCTACAGTTTGAGAGTGGGGTGGAATCTGTACTTTATTTCTCTGTTTTTATACCGTTCCTGGGTGGTGTAGACCAAGAGTGGATGTGAATTCACTCAGGCTCCTCGGAAGAAAGGTTTGGCAGTCTCCTGAAAAACCAGCTGTCGAAAACCCCACGTATGTAGGTGCGGAGCGCAAGTCAGCGCTCACACACCTCGGGTCTCCGAGAGCCAGATAGCCTGGATGGCAACTACCTGTTGTGTGTACGTCTTCATGAAGGGCGGGGGGACTATCATATAGTTCGTTTCATTCCTTGCCACATTGGGGGTGGGGTGGGGAGGGCAGGTGTCAACAGTTACTGAATAGAGTTGTGACAATTGACTACAGAAGGGCTCCTCAAATTTAATCACTTATTCCATGTGATGTAGCCCCTAAGAAGTAAGCCCAATTTTTTCCCGAATTTGTGACTGCTGTCATCTCCGCCATAAGCCAGGTTGAAGAAAGGCTTTTGTTCTAGGTACCTTGCTTAAAATAATTGAGGACACAAGAGGGTTGAATTTTTTTTTTTTTTTTTAAGTTTAAGGGTGGGACACAAAAACAACAGGAGGGTTTTCATGCCCAGACCTAGGAGGTGACCCCACAGGCCTTGGAAGATGAGAGCTCAGTGACGACCCCCTTTCCTACTCAGCAGGTTTTCCTTGGTCCTGGTGGCTGTGCCCAAGGGGGTAGGGCTAAGAGTAGGAGTTCTCAACTTTTCAGAGCACAGTAGCTAGTTTTTATTATTCCCCCATCCCAAACTATGAGGCCCAGAACTGGCACTGCTGTATCTTCATTTGGGTGGAGTGGGTGGGAGGGGCTGGGGGTGTGTGCACGCGCCAAGTGAGGACTCCAGTACCATCCACAGTCTGGCTGGAAGTGTCCACAAGGCTTGCGTGCTGGTGGCAGGCACTTGTTTCTCTTCCCCCTCCCCCTCCCCAGAGTTCCACGGAGGTGCAGGGTCAGAGGGCTATGGCCAGGAGGACCCAGCATGAGAGGGAGCCCACCCCCCCTTGTTTGAGAGATGCAGCTGAAGTAACTTTCCCAAGGTCACACAGATCTGAGGAGCGCTCAGGGCAAGCGCTCCTCTCTCCGCATTCTGATAGCAGCTATTTCCTCCCTCCTTCCCACTGCAGCAGTCTGTGACTCACAATGATGCTGTCGCCAAGGAGCACTGACTCCCACGTTCTTTTTCCCTAGGCCATCAGCTTTGTGGGAGCAAATGTCCTCTTGCCCATCGCACCCCCGGGGCTCCTTCAGGCCCTAGGAAGGTGATAGTGTGGGGGGCTCCAGACCTCAGACAAGCAGTGCTGTGGGCTCCAGCAGGGAGTCTGTCTTCTATTCAGAGGAGAAAGTGGCCTCTCATACCCCCGGGGCCTCCGCCTTAGCAACCCTGCGTGTAGTATGACGTCATTACAGATCTCAGGGGCCCTATATCTGGCTCTTCCTCTCCTCAGGAGTTCCAAGATCTTTGGCCACAGTTGTCCCTGGTCATTGACGGGGGACCACTTGGAGATGGCCAGAGCCCTGAGTACCGCCTCGGCTCAACGGTGGTCGACTTGTCTGTGCCTGGGAAGTTTGGCATCATTCGTCCAGGCTGGTGAGTCTTGCCCGGCTTAAGAAGAACGAACAAGCCTGGATCGAGTGGAGGTCGTCACGGGCGCCACCAAGTGGGTGCCGGGGGACTCTATCTGCCGGGTTCTGGCTTTTTCATGATCTAAAAGGCCTTCCCCAAGGGTTGGATGAACAGAGCTTATTAAGACCAGTGAGCTTGGCAGTCTCCAAACTCCACGCCCTGGGTGAGAAGGCAGATCATAACTTTTCTCCCATTTCCTCTTCAGTGCCTTGGAAAGTACCATGGGCCTCCTCCAACAGAAGTATGGGCTGCTCCCCTCCGATGGACCCTGCTCGTGAGACTTGGGAAGAGGGAAGCCCAAGGGTAGTTCTGGACACTGTGTGTCTGTCCCCTGGTGGCTGGCAAGGCCTCGTTGGCAGAGGCCACTAGAACTACAGCACTAGCCTCACCGCTTCAAGCGGGATTCGTGTCGAACACTATAAACCAGACTCCGGAAGTTACTGGATTAGCTTTACAAAAGAGATGATTATATTTATTATCTTCAGTTACATATTTCACTCAAAACTGGAAAATAAAGATTTAAAACCTGTATAGGGAGGCCTTTTTGTCCTGGTTTTTTCTTTTTCCCAAAAAAAAAAAAAATTTAAATAGAATTTGAAATCTAATGAGCGCCGCCTCCGTGGTGGGTGGTAGTGTCTTAAGGACCAAGCCAGCTAAGAGGAGTTGGTGCTGTTTACAAGTTCCAGGTGACCAAAGCCATGGAATTGGCTCGTGAAACTGGAAGTCAGGCTATGATGAAGCTGGAGCACCGGGCCAAACCTCCTTTCCTTGGAAAGGGAGGGGGAGTGCTACTCCCACTTCCTGGGTTGCCACCAGACAGGGTCACTCTTACAATCCAGTGGTCTGCTCAGTTGGTGGGGGGGATAGAGGAATTCAAATGAAAGAATATTGGAAATTAAATTTCTGCCATCATTTTCAGCCAATGAGGATTTTTTTTGTTTTTCCCTCTGAGCCATAAACCATGGTTTATTGTAAAGGGAGCCTGGTGGTACAGTGCTGACCAAGATGCGGTCAGGAAAAATGTAGGTCCCCTGGGAATGCACTGGCCAGGCTTGGGTCTTTCAAGGTTCACCAAGTCCAGATCAACCCTTGTGACAACAGGTTTGATAGGGGTTTGTACCTGTTAATGCTTTATTAATGTACCAATCCAGTATATTACTCAACAGCCGTTTACCTACACACGTATACTATGTGTCAAACGTTGTTGGGCATTTAATATAAAACAACACTGCTGTTAAACATTGTAAATTGTTTATTTTTTTTCTTTCAAATTTTCCCCTTAGAGTGGAATGACCGGGCCAAGGTGTGTGAAAGGCTTTACGGCTCTGGATATACAGATCAGACTTCAGAATAACTGAGTCAGGTTACACTGCTGCTCCACCACCCCAACTCCATAATTTTTATTTTCCTAATTTGTGTGTGTGTAATGACCCCTCAGTGTGGTGACCTCCACAACCTACTCGGGTCAGCGTCCAGCCCCTTTCCCCCCTCCATCTCTTCAGCTCATCTATATGCTGTCCAGCCAAGCCTGCCCTCCATCCAGTCATTGTGAGTGACCCAGTGGGACCTGGTGTCCTGGTGACCACTAGGGTCTGCTGCCCCCCTCCTCTGTGCCTGTCACCAGAATTGGAATTCCATTTTGAGTCCACAGACTTCTCATTACAATCCACATATATTCAAGTAGGTCTAAGAATGTGGCCAGGGTATCGTAGGGGCTCCATTACATTAGCCTATTAGTTTATTTTTAGTTAAATACTGGTTGTTATACATTCCCTCTAGTAGTCTTGTTTGAACTAGTATTAAGCAAACTCATTCTTCCTAACCCATCCTACACCTCAGTTCCTGGGAGACTCTACAGGTGCTTCAAAGTCATGGTAATACCAGACCACTGTAGTGCAGGAAATGACTCAAGGGAGTGGGCACCAGAAGAAGAGGACAGCCTACTCTTCCAGGAGTGGAGGCTCCAGAGCACGGAGGCATTTTCTCAGAGCACTAAGTAAAACTCAAAAGCCTCCAGCTATGCCCAGGCCTGGCTACAAGACCGCTGGCTTCTGTGAGCTTAAGCCCAGGAACTGCCCGTGGCCAAGTTCCTCCCCATTCCCGCTTGCCCCCAGCACACAGCAAGGAGCCTGACCAGGTGTTGAATGTGTGAAGGCCCTGTATTTTCCTTTTCTGACCATTGGGTTCAGGGATCTATGGGGAGGAGCCTACACCTAGAACTTCCCTTTCAGGAACTCTCAAGTACTGTGCAGCTTCAAAACGTTCTTGGGGAAATGGAATGAAAAACGATGGGATCTTTCCATGAACTCTTTGAAGCCCCTTTAATATGGTTCCCTAACTTAGGAAGGAGGTCTGAAGGGATCAGGGTGGCAGAGAACAGGATGCCTGCTAGCCCAGAGCCCTGACAGCCTTCCAGGAGGGCCCACTGCGCTGGCATGGTTACACTTTACAGCACCTGCCTAAGCAGGACAAAGCTAGAAGGATTCTGTTGAAGGGCCCTCCCTGACTCAGAGCCGGGTCCTGGGCTCATAAGTTCAGTTACCTCGTAGCCTCTGCCATTGCCCTTCTAGACCACTGCTGTGTCTCCCATCACTGCAGAACTGCAGGTGACTTGCCTGAGGGACAGGCGAGCGAGTGCCTGTCCCTCCTCCACTGAGCCCTACCCTGTGGCCTCCAGCGAGGCTGGGGCCCCTGGATGCAGGCTCTTCACATCAACCATTGCTCCTTTTCCTCCATGAAGTGCTCCGCCCAGCGGCGGGTCAGCTCCAGGTACAGGCTGGGCTGGTGCGGCAGGTAGTCCAGATAGAGGCGAGCGGGTGTCTTCTTGGGAGTAGCCTTCTCGATCTGTGTGCCCTCGTGCCACTCATTGAAAGAGGTGATGGAGACGATCTCGGGCCTGACCGTCAGGGCCGCCTGCAGGGCCGTCTCGTAGTACTTGCCATTGACCCTGTTCCGGGTATTGTGGTTGTTCCAGGGCCGGATGCTGGTATCGATGTAGCCGGGCCCCACGCTGGGAATGAACATAAGGTTGTTGGAATCACAAAAGTTCTTCACGGCTTTCCAGTTCTGATGGGAGGAGCCAAAGGAGAAGCCATTGGAGGCAAAGTAGGTGTACATGCCATCAAAGCCAGCGGCCAGGATGTCGTGGGTGTGCCCCTCCTCCACCAGCAGCGCTATGAAGACCCCATCGTAGGGGGTGTTGCGTATTGAGTGGGACCCACTTGGTGTCAGGAGATGGGCCCAGGCCTCAGGGGACGTCAGGTACGAGTCGTAGATATAAAAGAGGGGGAGGCTTTTGCCCATGCTGTTCTTATAGCGATAAAATGCGCCATGGGAACCATACCTGCGGAGCAGGAGGAAGAAGAGCCTGAGTTGGCTGTAGCAGAGCACCAGCTGCAGGTGAGCTTGCTCCTGATGCCCACAACCCAGATGCGGCTCCAGGGCCTCGAGTCAGACTGTCTCTCATCAAGAACTTGTTTCCTCTCCCCATCTCCCAGACTTTTCCTTCATCCAAATGCCACTTACCTTAGGCGAAGCTACCACCATCTTCTACCTGGTCTGCTGCAATGGCTGCTTCACTGGTCTCCTGCCTCCCTACACCCAATTCTCTTACCAATGTGAATCGAAGCAGACTGCTCCTTACTGTGACCTAGAGAGCCTGGCCTACCTGGTCTGGCCCTGGAGCAACACTGGCCTACCTACTCCATGGTCACACCAACCTCTTTCTACCTCTTTCCTGCCTGCCCCCGGTCCCCGTCCCCCCCCCCCGCCTGTATTTCTGCAGAGATGGCTCTTCATCTCAAAGAGGCTCACCTGGCCACACCCGTTCATTCAAAGTAGATTCTTGGGCACAGGCCTAACAACACCCTGCTCTGCACTAGTCTTTGGTACTCGTTGGGTGCCATTGAGTCGACTATGACTCACAGTGACCCACGTGAACTGATCCTTCCCGAAGCAGGTCACCCGGTCTCCCTTAGAGCTTCTGGGTGGGTTCAAACCACTACATTTGTGGATAGCGACCGAATTGTAACCAGGACTCTCTTCCTTAGCATAGATCAACATTACATTTTCCCTGTTTAATTACTGTCGGCACCACTGTACTCTCAACACACACTAGAATGTAAACTCTGCCTAATCGGAAACTTTGTTACCTACAGTCCCTGGAAGAGTCTCACATGTTTTTGTTTTTTGAGTGGGTGGTATGTGCCAGGTATTGCGTAAACCACTTTCCACCTAGGTTAACTCATGTAACAAGACTCAAAGGTTAAGAGACTTCCCTCTGGACTCAGGTTGGAAGCTGCAGAACTGGAATTTAAGCCCAGCTACCTGGCGCCCAGCCCAGCACTCCCATTGGAAGACAGCAGCTGAGGGCACAACTGTTCTCTCCTGACTCGACCCACCCCTCCAAACCTATCTCGACCCTCACTTTGATTCCCACCGATATCCCAGCCCCCTCAAGCCACCTTACGTGTCAATGATGTGCTTGATGTTGTCATGTAGAGTGATGTCATCCCGGCCCTTGTAGGGCTGGATATGGAAGGCAACCTGTCACAAACAGAGGAGTTACCAGTCAGGAGTCACCTTTCCCAGGGCCCACATTCTTGAGTGGGCTGCAACCACCAGTTTATGAAGCTCTGGCTCTGGCCATGACTTGGATGAGAACCTGCAGTCAGATGGGAGCCAGTGGAGAGACCAACCCTAGCCTTTTAGATGTTTGCACACCTCCCACAGCAGGACATCTGGAAATCACACCAATGGGCTGTTACAAGATGGCAGACAGGGTGCCAACTCCAAGAGATGAGCACTAGAGCAGCCTCAGAAAGTGTGCCCATAGGGACATGTGCTGGGGTGGTTAAGCATGCAGGTGACAGGCTCAGGAGCAGGGCGTGGGCTTCTCTCTCTACTAGAGAGTGTGGTGGCTTACTTGATTGGTTTTTTGGGAGACATACTTCACACCATCCTCTTGAAAGAGTCCACCTGCCAAGAGCATGTGCCCTACTCCTTGAGGCCGCACTGCCTCCCACTCGGAAGCTGCATGTATAAGCTGGAGTTCAGCTTGCACACCTGTTTGACTCCTGCACCAATCTCCAACCTGCCTTCTATCGTTCATTAGTAACGATGATGTTTGCTCTCCCATTGGCCTACATTTGGTTTCCCTGTTTTGTTGGTACTCAACATAAGTGCCATAGGCACCCTTTATTAGGACCCTTGCCAATGCCATCCTTGCCAATTCTGGGCAACTAGCCAAGAACTAGTGCAGAAGCGCTAACCCTGTGTGTGCAGGGGCGGCCATCGAGAGCAGGGGCCTGGAGACTCACCTGGATGTTGTATTCATGAGCGGTGTCCAGAATGGCAGGCACCAGGTCATCTGAGGGTTCCCCATTATCATCGGCCATGCCAGGTGGGTACCAAGACAGGACCAGGACGCCTGTGCACAACACAGAGACCCCAGAGGTGCCCCCTCAACAGAATAATTCTTCCCTCTATCACAAACCCAAACGAATGTTTCTGAAAGACCAGGAGGCCAGGTTCACTTCCCGCGAGCAGATTGCAGAGCCACGTGCTTGGAGCTGTCCACACCAAGGTGCTGAAGCGCTGCTGCTGCAAGGGCAGCACAGCAGGCCGGGAAGGAGCCTGGCTCTCGAATGCGTTTGTAGAACAAAGGGAAGCGGGTGGACAATGGCACACCCACCTAGAAGGCACAGACCTAGCCCTGGGAAGAGGGGGCACCCCTGAGGTTCTGTGGGGGAGCGAGGCTGAACAGAAGTCATTCTTTGTGTTTCTCCTGGGACTAACATTTGCCTCAATGGCTGCAGCTCTAGACTGTAAAGGCCGGAGGCATTTTCAACCCTGCCTCTTTCAGTCTGTGGTTGGTTGGTTACAAACCTCCAGAAAACAGTAAGGTACTGTCAAATGCTGCAGGAATCTGGCAAATTTTTGAAACAAGTGAGCCTCCCAAGCCAGCAAAAGAGGTTCCCAGGGCCCCTTTTACCAGCAGGGTACTTGAAAAGCTCCTGGCCCATACGCTGCAAACAGAGCAAGGCCCGTCATGCACCACGTGTGGCCAGCAAACGTAGGAAGGGCTGCTGCCCTGGCCTTTCCTGGCATGAGGGCAGAGACCGCCCCAAGCCTCACTGCCCCTTCCAAACCTACAAGCCCACCCGACAGGAAGACTGCCTCTGGAGCAAACTGCGGTGGTCCTCCCCGGCGGCTCTGCCGATGGAAGGGCCCTGGAGTTGTGGGGGGTCAGAAGGGCCGAGGTGGGCAGGGTCTGAAGGCAGGAGAGTGGGGATGGTGTCCAGCGGGTGGCTTACGACGAAGGTGGAAAGGAAGGCGTAAGCCACCTGGTTACGAAGTGAGTGGAGTCAAAGGCCTGAAGGGAGCTGGGGCGTGGGAATGTAGGCCGACGAGTGGGGCAGGGTCGTCGGGACCGGGAACTCACCGATGGCGGCTTCCTTGAGCTGGGTCATGTGCTCCCGCAGCACTTCGGGGTCCCGAGAGCTGTAGGGCCCCAGCTCCGGGTAGAAGCTGGAGCCCAAATCGTCGGGGGGGATGTGGCGGCCCCGCGGGTAGCTGGCTGAGATCTTGGGGTCCCAGTGCGGCACCATGACGTGGTCCCAGTGAATGTAGTGGCCCTCGTGCCGCGGGCTCCCGTACCACGAGTAGTAAAAGGCGTGTAGGTATCTCCCAGACTTTTCCTTCATCCAAATGCCACTTACCTTAGGCGAAGCTACCACCATCTTCTACCTGGTCTGCTGCAATGGCTGCTTCACTGGTCTCCTGCCTCC